GAACAGAGATCATTCTGTCATTTTTGAGATTGCATCCAAGTACTGCATTTTGGACTCTTTTGTTGACCATGATGGCTACTCCATTTCTTCTAAGGGATTCCTGCCCACAGTAGTAGATATAATGGTCATCTGAGTTAAATTCATCCATTCCAGTCCATTTTAGTTCGCTGATTCCTAGAATGTCGATGTTCACTCTTGCCATCTCCTGTTTGACCACTTCTAATTTGCCTTGATTCATGGACCTAACATTCCAGGTTCCTATGCAATATTGCTCTTTACAGCATCAGACCTTGCTTCTATCACCAGTCACATTCACAACTGGGTATTGTTTTTGCTTTGGTTCCATCCCTTCATTCTTTCTGGAGTTATTTCTCCACTGATCTCCATTAGCATATTGGGCACCTACCGACCTGGGGAGTTCCTCTTTCAGTGTCCTATCATTTTGCCTTTTCATACTGTTCATGGGGTTCTCCAGCAAGAATACTGAAGTGGTTTGCCATTCCCTTCTCCAGTGGACCACATTTTTCAGACCTCTCCACCATGACCCAGCCGTCTTGGGTGGGCCCCACATGGCATGGCTTAGTTTCACTGAGTCAGACAAGACTGTGGTCCTGTGATCAGACTGGCTCGTTTTCTGTGATTATGGTTTCAGTGTGTCTGCCCTCTGATGCCCTCTCAAAACACCTATCGTCTTACTTAGGTTTCTCTTACCTAGGACGAGGGGTATCTCCTCACGGCCGCCACTCCTGACCTTGAACGTGGAGTAGCTCCTCTTGGCCCTCCTGAGCCCGCGCAGCCACCGCTCCTTGGACGTGGGGTATTAACAGCTATAGTATTCGTTGACGACTCGGGTTGATCCATCATGGTTGCGGCTGCTTACCCTGCTTTTCAGTCCCTGAGCCTTGTGGCATCTAGCTTAACCGAGGCCAAAAATATCACTGTGAAAAAGTGGAGCCCAAGGAAATACAAACTCCTAACAGCAGAGATGTTTGTGTTTTGTTCCCTGCTGCATTCTAGAATCTAGAACAGTTCCTCCCCCATGACAGACACTCAGTATTTTCATTAATGAAAAGCCAGAGAGACCCCTCCTGACATATATGAGAAATCAATCCAAATTCACTTCTTATATCAAAACTTAATAATCTGCCACTGATTGGAGAAGCTGTTACTGTATGACTAACATATTAGAACTACCTGTACTATATTGTATATTTTTGAGTGAGATGAGTGATGAAAAATTATGGTTTTTACTTTTGAGAAGCCCAGATCCCAGTAATTTTGAAATTGGTATGCCTGTTACTAAAGTATGATATGACAGTATTATGGAGACATAACATTTCATGTATTTCCATCTTCTTAAAACCCTCTGAACACAGTAAGGAAAACCAGTGCTGAAGTACAAGTGCTGCTTCCCCTAGACACTGGTGCATCACCTAAGACACTTGGGCCGGCATCTGCTAGGCACTGCTAACAGATGGAAGACATTAATCATCTGCTTGGTGTTCCCACCTTGTCCATCCAGCTTCAAATATAACCGCACTGAGCTACATGAGTCAGCATCTGGTCCCTCCAAAAGTTAGTTCATCACTTCTAAAGCAAAAAGGAAAAAGTTCACACTTCTGAGCCCTGAATCATTGCCAGAAGTATCCGTGGCGCCCCAAGGTCTTTAGCTCCCTGGAGACTCCCTGAAGATCTTTAGCTCCCTGGATACCAAAGTAAAGACAGATCTGAAAGCTACAAAAAAAAAAAAAAACACAGGTGGGTGGTCATATACAGGACTGCACCCCCAAGCAATATAAATGGTATTTGTCCCACCGTGGATTCACTGCTTTGAAGGATCAAAAAACAGAAGACAGCAACATTCAACATTTAAGATAGTTTTCTTAATAAAAAAAATGCACTAAAAAATGTGAATAAGTCAAACTTTTATTTTTCAGAAGCAAAAAGGACAAGTGGTGACTTGCCTTTGGAAAAGACACTAATATCAGGGTAATCAACTATCTATCTCATAGAGACAGCAGCCTAAGAAAGACTCTGTTATCATACAGCTCTCAAAGGAAGTTCTATTAAATAAATCTCAGAACAATATGTTTTAACAAAAACCAACAAAACAAAAACATTGACAACAACAAAAAATTAAAAAGAATCCATGAAGTGGTATTTGAAGAAAGAAAAAGGAAAATCTGGAAGTCTTAATTTGAGAGTTCTCTATTAAAATCAAGGAGGCCCAAGTCCTAAAACAGAAAAGAAAAAAAAAAAACAAAAACACATGTTAAAGCACAATCTTTTAAAAAAATCCAATGAGGTTTTTATAGATGCACATTGTAATGCCTCAGTTGTTCAAGACATTTTTTCTTACACTGGGAGCACTTCTGTAAGTACTGCTGGAGATTATATAAATGACAATGCAGAGATATGCCTTCTCAACGGGCCCTTCAAGTTTTAAATTTGGGTCTGGAATCTCAATTAAATGTTTTTATAACAGGCTGCAGAAAATGGTATTGTTTTTTTAAATTATATTTGCTTACTTTTTACACATTATAACTTTAAAACGGTCTATATACTTTAAAAAGAGAAACACCAACTTACATGGGAAAATAAAGTTATGTGAAATGACACAATCCTTCTCATAAAGTAGGAGTAACAATTTCCAAAATGAAAATACTTAATACAAAATGAAGTAGTTAGCGGGGGCTGGGGTGGGAAGTGGAGAACAACCAGTGGAAGGCACAGAAGGCCTAGGTTCTAGATTCAGTTTTGTACTGATTAGCTGTGTATCTTAGTCTCAGCTTCCTTAGATCTCAATTTCTTCCCTGGTAAGGAGAGGCAGATGGCTCTCTATGCTCTGTTTCAATTTTAAAACCCAAAGGCTCTTATACTTTATAAGGAAAGGTCTGAAAAATTTTTGGACAATGAGTTGAATAAGCTCCTCAGATCTTGACAGGAAGGGTCTGTCACTGTTCAATCTTCAGGACAGTAACTAGAAAACATATTCCATAATTTTATTGGGAGAAAAGAAAAAAATCTACCTTAAGGGCAAAATTATACTTCATATCCTATTTATACACGAAACACAGAAAGTGAATGGTTAGTCTCTTCCAGGCCTCTAGAAGCTCTCTCTGAAACAGAGTCAACTGAAAATCCTAGGATTATGACTGTGCCAAAACATCCAGCCTGTGTTTCTGCCTTACTGAAAGCTGCTAGACAGTTCTAGGGTCGAATAGTTTTCGTGGGCAGGACCAAACTTCAGGTTAAAATAAGTACTTGTAGTAGTTTCAGGATTGAAACTCCATTAACTTTCAGGTTTAGGAAAGGAGAAGAATGGAATGAAGTTTAAAGATCATGCTGATCCTAAGAAGGATGGACAGTAGAAAAAATATGCTTTATTATCTATAACACATACTTTCATCATAACCATTGTATAAACCTTTGGGCTCTTTTTGCTTTGATGTTATTTTTTTCGTGTGAACTTTGTCCTTTAACTATATTCACTACAAAGAAGCAACATGAATTGTGAACTGCAAGAGCTATGTGCATATACAAAAATGCTTTATAAAAAGTTAAAGCCTCATGTCCTGATAAGCAAAAATACAGGTTTACAACACTAGATGATCTCTTAAATCTCCCCAGGTTCTCAAATTCTCATAATTTTATACAGAAACATAAGATTACATACACATATCACTTACTGTTTCTTTTAAACAGTATTCATGGATATAACTGTGTTTTCCTAAATGTCTCATTGGTAATACTCAGTCTTGTAAGTCTGGTTCCATAGTAATCTATAATGTAACTACTTCCATCTGAAGGTCCAACAATCTAGAAGAGAAAAGTTTGCAAATTACCCATTTTACAGAAGATACTTAAAAAATATTTTGAGTTTACTTCTCTCAGGTGTTAATAAAATTACTTCATAGCACCAGAAATACAACTTAAACCAACTCAAGCAAAAAAAGTAATTTAGTAGCTCATGCAGCTGAAAAGGGCACTGGGGAAGCTCACAGGATTAAGAGAGCTGGGGGAACTAAGGCCTCAAGAACTGAAATGCCACATGACAGGAGGCCCTTGGTTTGGCCTCCCTGCCTTTATTCCACAGACACGTGCTCCCAATTGGTTGCCAACTTCTAGATACATATCTTGACAGTTTCCAATAGAATGTAAAATTTTCTTCCTCAGTGTATATACATCAATTTCAGGGAAGAACTTTGACAGATGTGCCTGGTTTTTATGCCTGTTGCTGAACAAATTACTGTATCCAAGGGAATAGGATTAATATTGGCCAAGCCAGGCTCCCTCTGGGAAATGATGTAATATGACTGACAGTCCTACCAGAACCACATGGAATGGAAAAGGAAGAAATAAACACACACACACATACACACACTCATAAGAGTCTTGTCCATTTAACCACATTTGTGACAATCTACGTAACATGATCTCTACAACTTATCCTGTAAGATAATAATCTTCAAACTGAAGCCTTAGGGGTACATAGGATTTACAAAGGTATATGCAGGCCCAAAAAGCTGCAAGGAATCCATTTTGAGATCCTTAATTCACATAAATACTCTTTGTGAAAATGATCCACCTGATATTAACAGTAGAATAAAAGCATCATGCTAGGTCCCAAGCCCACTTCCCTTTCCCTGTGGTCCTTTCTCCAACTTGACAACAGTAAAGCATACCTCCCCCATCAAAATACACTTGAGTCTCATAATGGCATATTGCCTTGAGGTATAAAAATCTCTGATGTGTCAAAGAAGGGGATAATTCAAAATATTGGAGTCAGGGATGTCTCTTTTAATCAAGAGTCCAAAAATACTCTCTGTCACTTGTTTAAAAGATGCATTCCTAGTAAAATTTGACTTTTTTTTTTTAGCCTATAAATGATTTGCTAATATCTGTAACAGGTTTATGCTATTTTGATCAAACTGTATATCAATAATTAAAGTGGATATTTTAAATTCTATGCTATTTGTATTCTGTAGATACATTTTAAAATTGATGTAACAGTTTTATTTAAATAGGTCAATATTTGCAAACTAGAAATGATATCCTTTGCAACTTTTTAAGCTTGGGATGGAAAACTGAAATGTCAACTTAAAACATGTGAGGATAGGGGTTTTCTTAAGAAAAAAATTCTTTTAGGGGTTATGCAACCAGAGTTTGAAGAACACTACTATAGAATATTCATCATTTTAAAGATAAATTTGGTTTTAAAGGCTATTCAACAAATACTTAATTCCTACAGTCTAGGCACCATGCTAGACGTTATACACAGAACAGTGAATAAGACAATCTGCCAATAGAGGGTTTATTCCAGTGAACTATAAATGTTAATATTCAAATAATACTAGATACCTTGCTAGGTGCTGTCATGTACTTGAACTTCCTCCAAAGATCAAATTGCCTTGTCTTGACATTTATGAATGTGATGAATGAATTTAAATAAAATTTAAAACATTTTCAATAGCAAAGTCACAGAGGAAACTAGTATGTGTATTAAGCAAAGAAAGAAAAGAATGGGTGACTAGAATTTACAACATGGTTTGAGACTCTACAAAAGAAACAAAGAAAAAGGAAAGCCTCGCAAGTGGAAATAGGTTAAATCATGTGGTTAAAAACTGGCCTAACCTGGAATATGTGCGTAGATTGGAACAAGGCCTTTGCCCTATTATCTTTTTCTTCCTATGCCATCTCCTCTGACACTCTCACTTACTCCTGTCAAAAAAAAAAAAAAAAGATTTCAAAAGTTGAAAATAAGGAAAAAAAGATGGTTGGATGGCCTTTTACTATCATGCATTTCTAATAAGCCCACCCACAGCTCACTTGACTTTCTCGGGAAATATAACTATTTAACTAAAAATTGATTAGGGCCCAGATGTTTTATAGTCTTGGCAAGTTAGCAGTTAACACATAGAAGAATGATATGATATTGTTTTGGTCTTCTGTTCCCCCTGTCCTGTAGATAAGTTAGCCCTAAAGATTACAGTTTTATTACCTGGTAATACATGGTCCAAATTTGTATATAATTTAGCAATCTTACTATAGCATTTCTTTCCCTTCAAAGTATGTAATTCTGGCTCCTCAACAACTGGTTCTATTGTGGGAGATCCTCTTTCCTCAGATTTGATCCAGCCTGGGCATGTAATCAATCACGAATGAGTTGATAATCTATGAGACAAGTTCAACGGGAGATTTATCTGCTTTTAAGAAGGTGTGTGTGAGAGGAAAAGGGTGTTTTCCACCTGTGAAAGTAATGATACAAGAAGTGATCCTAAGCAATGGAACTGAAGATAGCAAAGGGAAGGAAGGAAGATGGGAAGAAAGGAGGGAGAGAAGGAAGGAAAGGAGGGAATAAAGTATTTGGGTCTTTAAGTTCTAAATTAACAAATCTTAGAACTACCAAGTCTCCAGATTCTTGGTATAGAAGATGTACGGCCATTTGTTCACTGACAACAAAGTATGAAAACTAAAATTATGTTTATTTCTCTGCTAAGAAATAGCCTGAAGCCAAATTTTACTTCCATCAAGTATTTCTGTTTGATAAGCTGGGGCAGATTTCTGAAATCTATGGGGAGAAGAAAGACCACTTAACAATTAATGGACCAATAGGCTGCTACAGGCCTTCATCTTCCAAGAGGGGAATCAGGAGGGCCACTATGCTGTGAAAAGCTATTCTGTACAAAGGGGTGTTAAGTTATCTTGTGTGAGAAGCCCTGAAGCCACAAGAAAGCAACTTCATATCCTTCTATATGAGTTTCCTGTTGGCTACTGTAACAAATAACCATAAAGTCAGTGGATTAAAACAACAGACATTTACTCTTACAGTTCTGGACCCCATAAGTCTAAAATCAAGGTATCAGTAAAGTCACATGCCCTGCAGAGACTCTGGGGCAGAACCCATGCTAAGGCACCCCTTGGCATTGCCGGCCTGTGGCCACATCACCCTGATCTCTTGGGGTGAAGGTCTTCACATCACCTTCTTTACTGTGTGTGTGTCTGTGTCTTTTCTACTGCCTCCTATAAGGACACTTGTCATTGGATTTAGGGCCCATCCAGATAATTTAAAATAACCTCTTCATATGAAGATACTTAAGTTAATCATATCTGCAGAGACCCTTTTTCCAAATAAGACAATATTCACAGGTTCCAGGGATCTGACACAGGCATCTTTCATCTTATCACACCCCCACTCTATGAAGATTGCTGGTGGTGGCTTGGAGGAATTGGGTGAAATCTGATTTCTTCTTTCCTGTCATTTCTGATTGTTTTCAACCATGAAATTTTACTTGCAGCTTAAATGCAAAAAAATCTTTCAATTGTTTACTTAAAGGAGTAGGCTTTTCTATAGGTGGAAAGTCTAGAGCAAGAAGAGTAAATCAGAAAACTCTAGAAGTTCACATTAAAGTCAAGAATGTTAAGCAGTGATCACTAAATTTCCTATTTTTCTGTTCTTAATCTTTCATCTCCACTATAATTCTCCATAATCCCAGTCACCCACCCATAGGTACCCACACAAATAATGGGCATATATTTAACTTGGTATATGACTTGGATATTTATTCTTGAAAAAAAAATTGATTTTCTTTGGATACCCATTTTTAATTATCCAAATGATACTTGTTGTAGATCTTGTTCAAACAATTTTCACAGTACACTAAGATTTTAGGACATTTCCGTGGTAGCTGTATGTACAACAGGTAAGCGCTTGTAGCTGCTGCCTGGCGTTACATCCATTCTCCACATCTAGGTTAACTCCAACTTCCTCCTACCACAGACAGTACTACAACAGACAGAGTTGTCCCCTGTCCCCTGGTGGAGAGAAGTATGAACATTTGGGGATAAATGCCCAGAAGTACCTCTTATTTACACATTAGTTATTTGGGTGATTTTGTGAATCACCTTTAGTGTCCTGGGCTCATTTAACTATTAAATTCCCCATTATCTTATTGACTTGCATATTCCACATATAAATTCCTACTGTTAGTGTCCCCAGTGGCTCAAGCAGTAAAGAATCCACCTGCAGTACAGAAGACGTAGGAGACGTGGGTTTGACCCCTGGGTTGGGAAGAGCCCCTGAAGGAGGAAATGGCAACCCACTCCAGTATTCTTGCCTGGAGAATCCCATGAAAAAAGGAGCCTGGAGGGCTATAGTCCATAGTATTGCAAAGAGTCAGACATGACTGAGCAACTGAGCCCACATCCCCCACAGTGTTCTTTAACTCAGCCTATTAACTGTTATTTGGTCAGTCCACGGTATCCTTTTTAGAAATGATTAAAATTTCTTAATTTTAATGTATAAAATAATTTTTTTCTTTATGGTTTATGTTTTTTGGATCTTGTTTAAGAAGACAACCCATCTAATGTCATGAAGATATTTTCTTCAATTAGCTTTATATAAAAGTTTATCTTCTCCTAGGTATTTACCCTTAAAGAACTGAACAGGGGCTTAAACTGATACTTGTACACAAATATTCACTGCAGCATTATTCACAACAGCCAAAATGTGGAAACAACCCAAGTGTCCATCAACAGATGAACAGATAAAAGAAATGTGGTATATACGTACAATGGAACATTATTATTCAGCCATAAAAAGGAATGAAATTCAGATACATGCCACAATATCAATGAACCTTGAAAACATTGTGCAAAGTGAAATAAACCAGACATAAAAGGACAAATAGTGTATGATTCCACCTATGTGAAATATCGAGAAAGCAAGCAAATTCTTTGGGATATAGTAGATTGGAGGTTACCAGTGACTGGGGGATGGAGAAAAGAGGAGTTATTGCTTAATGGATGCAGAGTTTCTG